CATGTATTTCGTCTAAAAAATATAATTATAGATGAATTTTTCTTGTTCATGCTTAAAAAAATTATGGATGTGTTGAAATTTTTTTATCTATATGTTAATCTATGTCGAGATAAGATTTATTCATTAAAACGTATACTGATTTAACGAAAACAAAATTAAATATATGTAAATATACTTATTGATTCATAGTGATTGATATAAGAAAAAAAATTCTTCTTCAATGTCCGATAAATTTTTGAGATTTTGAGGTTGAAGAAGATAAAAACTGTGAGACTTTTTATCAGTTTTGAAATAAATAGGTAAAAAATTAGTTGATTTTGAAAATTTGAAGTGGAAAGTATTTGGTTTTCACTTATTAACTAAAATGGTAGTACTGTCTTTGAAACAAAACAATATTTTATAATTGTATGACATACTTACGGGCATCTTTTTCTTTTAACATCCAAGAGGCCATTAGAGAAATATTCAATTCTTGAAAATTCAAAGTGAAAATTAGATGGTTTGACCAAACCTTTTTTAAAAGTACCCCACAAATATACGGTCAAACATTTTCTTTTGAAAAGTAAAAAAAATGCAGCTTGATTACTGACGTGATGGGCAATTGTTATCATGTTTATCATATTCATTGTGGACAGGAGGATATCAGCTCTTATCCTACATATATAAAAGAGGGAAGAAAGGGTTGGACACGTGTCAAATATATGTATCGTCTTGTACATATTTGCATTTTTTAATTCTCAAAACGTTCTCAGCCCGTTCTCTGTACTCATTTTTTTTTCTCTTTCTCCATTCTCTAGTGCAACCATCCACTCTTCCTCCATTTTTTCATGCAACACCCATCTTGTGCAGACTTGTCTTTTCTTTTTCTTATCTCTTTTGTATAATCTTTCTCTTCGACATTTTCTTAGCCTTTTCCCGACATCTTGTGCAATTTTTTTGCTATGATATCTTGGGTATGGTGGATGAGTTTACCATTTGTTTTCATATCTGTAAGATTCTTTTGGCCTTTACAATTACGATTTTTTTCCTCTTCCTTATTTCTATACATCGCAAAATTGGAACCTTAATTGAATTGAAGCAGGTAAAAGTGTATACTATCCAAAATTGCTTTGAGTTTTGGATTTGGTGAAGACTTAACAGATTTGAAAGATTGCTATGATTGACTATTTTCGATTACAGCAGAAACAACGATGGTAATTTATTTGGTGTACATATTATTATATACTTTACCCTTCCCTTCCCAATGGAGTTGTTTGCTTTTGAACATGTGAATTTGCTTAACTATACAATCTTTTTTCCTTGTGGCATTTGAGAATTGGAATGAAGATATCATGTACGATTCATCTTCCTTACCTTTTTTCTTTCTTTCTTTTTGAAAATCAAATCGACTTGCTATTGTTCGTCTTTCTTTCTCGATCTCTTGATCATTATGTAAGTTTCTTTTTATTCTTATTTTGTTCAATTGATTCATTGAGAATATAATTTAGCTGGATTTAAATACGCTTGCAAGCACGTACGATCTTCATTTTTCTTTCTTGATTGATTGTTTTATGTAATTGCCTTTTATTCTTATTTTCTTCAATTCATTCAATTTTGGAGAATATAATAGCTCCGTGCATGTCCTTTATTTTTTGTAACAACAACGAAACGGAAAAAAAATTAATACGAGCAACCCTTTTGTTCTTTTTTTTTTCCCTAATTCGTGAAGTAAAATATTTTACTGTTAATTATCAAATTTTTGTAACAAACCATTGCTTCACTTGCAATTCTTGTTCATCTGATCTGAAATTGTGATAAATTTCTGATCCGGGAGGTGAGAAATGGAAATGTTAGCGACGATGGTGAAGGTAGGTTCCCCAAACCCTAGCAATACTACCGCCAAGAAATCATTCACTCTATATTCTTGAAGGTTTGATTTCTTCCCTTCTACGTTTGTTTCAATTTATGTGAAAGATTGCCAAAAAAATTAAAAAAAATAAAACTTCATGTTTTGTTTCGTTGAAGGTTATAGTTGGTGAAATTGATGCCTCTCTTTATGGTCTGAGTTAGAATTGTTTTGTAAAATTCATTTTTTTCTAACTCTATATTTTTAGTGGTTTAATTTATTTCCTTCTGTGTTTTTTTTAGTTATGTCAATTTTTTTAGAAAAGTCAGAAAACTTCATATTTGGTTTAGTTCAAGATTAGAGTTGGTGGAATTGATGACTATAGCTCTATAGTCTCTTGGGTAAGATTTTAAAAAAATTCAAATGATTTTCAAAAAATATATAATAAAAACAAAACAAATTAAACAAAAGAAAGTTACAAACATTAAATAAAGAATATAAATATTATGTAATTAAAATTGAAAAAATTAAGTTTTATTATGGGCAGAGAAGAATTAAAAATAATTTTAAATCGATAAAAAAAGGGAAAATTGCAGTAGAAGCTTCAAACCTTTGAAATATTAACAGATTTTTTTCAAACCTTTGATTTGTTGCAGCCGTCACTCATAATCTTTCCAAACGTTGTAGGTGAAGCTCTTTTGGACGGTTTCCATCCAAAATTTCGTTAGTTGACCAAAAATTTAACTTTGACCACATTTTTAATATTTTAAAAGTGGGTAAAAGAGTAATTTTTTATTTATCACATAAAATAATAATTAAATTAAAAAATAAAAAACCCATAACCCAGTCTTCTTCCTCCCACCCCACCCCTAGTCTTCTTCCTCCTCCTTACACAAAGGATACAGAGATGGTGGCAACGGTGGATGTGGAGATGGTGGCGACGGGGGAGGACAAGAACCCAGTGAGAATTACTTACACAAGAAATATAGAGTAGATTTATTCAAAGAAGAAGAGACTAATAATTTTCAAGGAGAAGGCTCCGATTCACCTTCACATAAGCAATTTAAGAGGAACAATTTACAAATTTTACAAAAATTGCAAGAATTGTGTGCATAGGGTTCCTAAATTGTTGGACATTGAATTTGCAACAACGACTTGACACTTCAGATTGTCAATTCAACATGATTCCCTTCTGGGTGACCAAAATTAATGGTCCAGCAATCCATCATATCATCANTCTTTCCTTCAGTGTTTTTTCTTAGTTATGTCAAATTTTTTAGAAAAGTCAAAAAACTTCATATTTGGTTTAGTTCAAGGTTTGAATTGGTGGAATTGATGACTATAGCTCTATAGATTCTTGGGTAAGATTTTAAAAAGTTCGAACGATTTTCAAAAAATATATAATAAAAACAAAACATATTAAACAAAATAAAGTTACAAAAATTAAATAAAAAATATATAAATATTATTTAATTAATTGAAAAAAATTAGTTTTAAAATGGAGAGAAAATAATTAAAAATAATTTTAAATCGAATTTTTTTTATATATAACATGAACAAAACAAATTAAAAAAAAAACAAAAAAAGAAAATGGAAACCTCCTGGATGGAGATTTTGGAGGATGGAGGTTTCCTAGAAAATCTGCATCCATGAATGAAGTTTTTCCCAAAAATTGTTTTTTTTTAATCCCAATATATGAACCTTATTGAGGATCAACTGCAATAGAATAGTCAATGAATGCATCAGATGACATTCCCAGCAAAGCACTCGAACTTAATATAAATATTTAACATCAACAAATAGATACATGAACACAAAAACATGTATGAACACATGAAGTTGATTTCCAAAAGAACATCATTGAATTCATTAGTTCAGTATTTGATTTACATTAGAATATCCATGTGTAATTTGATGAGTCTAATTTCTGCCTCAATTAATCATACTTTTGAATTAAATATGTGATCCTCAGATAATGGTGAATATTTAGTTAAGCTCAATCTAAGTTATGATTCTTATTACTCCATTTTCTTTCCATGGATTTGCAGTAATTGAGAATTCAATGATTCAAACCATTTATGAAGACTTCATTGAGCGTTATACTCAAATGCAATCAATTGTTAATAGCAACCCTTCCTCGTATTGTCATAGAGGGAAGTAATATTTGATATGCCACATGCTGATCGAATTCTCAACCAATTTTTGACTGTAATGGATGGAATGAACGAGATTTTTTTTTCATAATTGGGGCTACTAATAGACTGACTTAATTGATCCGGTCAAGTTGATAAATTAGTTTATGTCCCTCTGCCAGATAAATGATCACACTTCCAAATTTTCAAGGCTTGCCTCCGAAAATCACCGCTTTCCATAGAAATTCATTTGAGAGTTGTTGCCAAATATACTCCAAGATTTAGCGATGGTGCTATTACGGAGATATGGGAATGGGCTTGCAAATATGCAATCAGAGAAAATATTGAGAAAGTATGATTCTCTCCAACTATAATTTAATTTTCTGAACGTATCTATGAATATCTTAGTTTTTACGTGCCTTCGGATTTGAAGCTTGTTTGGGAAATGTTGATTTAAATTATAAATAAATAGCATGTCTGTTAATCATCCTCCACAGATTTTTTTTTTTTTTTTTTTTTTTTTTTATTGATATAATATTAAAAAAGGCACAAAGTAAGAGGCATTTTTGAGAGATTTCCCAGTCTGAGTGCACGAGCAGTCACAATTTTTAAATGTTGATTTAAATTATAAATAAATAGCATGTCTGTTAATCATTCTCCACAGATTTTTTTTTGTGAATTTACATCAATTTATTGATATAATATTCCCCTTTTACTTTTTCTTATTTTCTATGCTGGATCTAAGTTCCAATTCGAGTAGTTTGTTCTATGGACGGAAGCTTATTCGTCTGACACATTTAATTGAAAATGTAGAAAATCTAATTAAGACTCCAATTTCTTACTGGTTTCACATAACTGTTTGTTATAAATGAAATCATAACTAAAAGATATTGTTTATCTTCTTTGAAATTATAACACTTTCATTACGTCAATACATGTAACGTTGCACCAAAACATTTGTCTTATATATTTGTTCAACAACCAACACACGCTTATATTTAGCATTCACCAACTAACGTGCAACGCACGTTTCCTCACTAGTATTAAAGAAACAAGCCATGCTCCTCAAGCTTGATGCGGTTTGTTTGATTGACTTTCTCTTCCATTTCAGGCATCAAATAATTCTTCCAGTCCCCCACAGCACCTTTCCTGAAGAATAAACTGTTATGCACATTGTACAAAATAGATCCATTCTTGTTCACCTCCAAATTTTTGAGTCTTTCCAAGCTGCACCTCCACAAAACCTTATCAATTTCCTCTTCACTTGCAAAAGGCTTACCCAGAAATTCAGCAAGCTTCTTAACCTCTCTCTTGGGATCACTTTTCAGTTCTTCATATTTCAAGAACAGGATTTTCTGCGGACTCTTCTGGCTTTCCAACCAGTACTGTAAAACGTGGTCGAAAAACGGCCCATATTGATGAACTCCAGATAAGAAACAATCGACTGTTTTGTCTAAGGGGAAAGGGTTTTGATCAGAGTGTAAAATGGAGTTGAAATAGTGCCACATCGAGATTAAAGTGTCCTTAGGGTTCCGGGCAATGTAAACTATTTTACAATCTGTGTTCTTGACAGAATCTGGGAGGACAATGTAGGGTAAGTGGCTGTGGAAAAGCCTAGGAGATGGAGCTTTGTAAAGATCTATAAGGGGTTTTGTGCGATAAATTGTGCTTTCAATTGTTGGGACATGGAAATGAGGATTATCCTTAACTAGAAGGTCATAATCCTCGTCAGGTTTTGGGTTTTTGAGGATGCAGAGGCAGAGGGATTTCAGCCATGTTGTTCCTGTTTTCATGTTTGACGTTAAGATGACGTCGTCGTCCTCTGCTTGAAAGCTTGACCTGAAGGTCATTGCAGGTTGAAGGAGGCCGGGTTCGAACCAGAAGCCTTCCCACTGGACAATATCCATCGCGTCCATGAAACGAACTTTTGGGAGATTCAGATGGATTTCGTCATTGTTGGAATTAGGGTTTGATGGTAAATCCCCCATGGATGATATTGTATTTGAAAGAGCTCAACGAAAAGTGTTATTGGCAGTGAAATCTATACTTGAGAGGGCTCAACAAACTAGGTTTATTTATAACGGTTTGAGGAGCTTTGCTGATTAATATTCTATTATTATTATTATTATTATTATTATTATTATTATTATTATTATTATTATTATTAGGGTAGCTCTATTTACATCCACGCTTTTTTCATAAGTATATCCACTTCTAAAAATAAAATTTTACTATATTTTAAGTCATATATAAATTTACTTAAATAGACATGAGTAATAATGAAATCCACATCCATTTGTTGAATCAATTACTTCAATTTTACCCAAATCATCAAAATTATATTCTGCCGGACGACAAATTATAATTGGCAGTCGGCTACTATTCAGTTCTAAGTTTTACCAACAAACCCCAGTGGTTCTTTTGTTGTTCTTCTTCATTTTCTCATTCTTCTTTTCCATTTTTTTCAAAATCAAATGATGTCTGGTGGCTAATGATTTTAGGTTGTGTTTGGACATGGCTGTAAGGTGGTGGGTTTTGGTTTTTTGTGGGTATGTGGTGGGTGTTTGAGGAGGAAGAACATGTCTTGGTTTTGTTCAGTAACACGGCGGGTAGCACCTTGTTGTCGGAGAAGAACGGAGGAGGGGGACCAGGTGGGGGGAACATTGGGATTTGGGAAACTAGAATTTGTCTTTTGACTTTTGTTTTTTGTTTTTTTGTTTTTTTTTTTTAAGTTTTAATATTATTCTAAGCTTACTCATATAGAAATTTGACATCCACCTACGAATGATCCAACAAAGTTATCATTTGTATGATTGCTTTAATGATAAAATTGCCTTCTTTGGGCCAACAAAAAAAAGAAAAAAGTAGTCTCGGATATAATGATGAGTTTGTCAATCATAAATGCCAGAAACGATTATTGTTTGCAATTCAATTATGATTATTTTATCTCATTTTAAATATCCCTTGTTTTGTTCTTATTTCATTCATTTGTTTGGAAAGAGTTTATGGTTTTAGAAATTGTATGAATCTATAGTGTTAGGAATGTATTTAAAGTAGGATGAATATATAAAATTCACGTGGATATATAATATTTAAATGAATGGATTTAATAAGGGCAAAATTGGAAATGACGTGGATGTTAATAATATTTTTTTTAAATTTTTAAATTTTATTAGGGATTAACTTAGCGTGAGATGTACTTATAAAAAACGTGAATGGAAATAGCAGTACCTTATTATTATTATTATTATTATTATTATTATTATTATTATTATTATTATTATTATTATTATTATTATTATTATTATTCTTCTTCTTCTTCTTCTTCTACTGGTCGAGAAATTGGCACGGTCATTGATTAATTTTGTAACATTTGGGTGGGTCACAGATTTTATTTTTAACGTTGCATTTAGATTTCGATTTTACTTTTACATGTAAAATTGTTTGTCAACTGTCATTTAAGTGTCTATGTTATTATTAGTTATAGACTTATTAGATGAAATTCATCAGTAGAAGGAATGAAATTTTCCATTCGTACAGAATGGCCCTTCACAAAACCATTACAAAAATTCATGGAGGTGGGCTCTATATGAATAAAATATTTTCAAAAAAACCCCACCCACCTACCCTCTCCATTGTCCGTATTCTGTAAGCTTTCCATCTATACAAGAAGCATGGCTGGGAATGAATAGCATTTTGGATTTCATACTTCCAAGTTTTGTAATATTTGAGTAAGGTTTATGAAGCAATATATTACTAGTGAGTCTAGTGATTAGTTAAAAACCTTTTGAATCGACTTGGTCAATAGGATTCATGTGCTATACAAATAAATAATAGATATAGGAGAGTCAAGTTAGCAAACATTAGTTTAAAATCCGTCAATACGTACATGCTCAAGCAAAGAAAGGGACATCCCACCTATTTTTCCAATTTTTTTAGACATTTTTAAGTAGAATGGACATTATTTTGTATAAAGACGATGTCAGTAACCTCAGTAGACTTTTATTTTTGAAGTGAATTATTGATTTTTTTCATGTCGTAAGCTTGAAAATAGTCCTTTAACAACCCTGAGTAGTAGGAGTTACATTTTCACTAAATTTTAGATTATTTAATCTAGTATGACATAATAAGTAATTCTAGAAAAATTATTTAAACTCTGTCGATTTATTGGCTGAGATGATATTGGACATTATGGTGGTTTAAAGATGTACATTGAATGACTTTCCAGCATCGAATGCCCGTAAATTCCCAAGTTACGGAATACACTCCCATGAGTTTCCCCATTTGTGTTCACCTTCACCCAGCCATGTAACGGAGGCCACCACTTCATTACGATCGAACAATTACGCCAAATCGCTGAAGAAAAAGTATCTTCACCTGTAAATTATACATGGTCTTGTTGATCGAACGCTTAAGATGTCGCCCCTCCTAAAAATGGCTTGATTTCGTGCTGTTCCTATACTCCAAAATACCACCACAACCACCGTCCTCCAAATATTTAAGAGATGACTACTAATATTATACTTCCATACCTTTGTGACCGAAGCTTCCACTAATTGAGTGGATAGCTACTTAATTTAGGTCAAATTACGTTAACTGTAGATAAAATCTCGACTTCGACATAATTGGCATGATAAAGATGATTTTGAGCTTAAATGAAATTGATACGGAGCAATTGATAATCAATCATATTTCACTTGATCAATATGAAGCATTAATTGAGCATCGAAGGAGAATCACAATTCTGGGAGTTAAATTCGACATTCGAAAAGTTTGGAGACTTAATTGCAAACTTTCGAACGTACAATGGATCAATTGTGGATGATTGTGGTATGTAGAGGACTAAATTGTAAAGAATCAAAGATGAAGGACCAAAGATACAAGCAGTAAAGGACTCAAACTGAACGAAAAGAGAAATTAGGGACCAACTTGAATTCGGCAAAAAGGTGTAGCTTACAATTGCAAGCGTGGGTAGCAGCTGCAATCAAAGCACCTTTAAGCAGATTTCCAGCAGCTTAAATTCATCTACTGTGCCCCGAACTGGTTTACATGATGCGAACGCAAATGCCAATCTGACAGAAAATATTTGGTTTCCAATCTGATTCGACATCTTCATTGAAAGCAATTAGGTGACGGCTTTTGACATAATTCTTGGGCTGTAAATATATATCTTCATTCACAATACAAAGGGAGAACCTAAGGAACTTTGAGAGGTTAGCTCTTAGGTAGAAAATTTGTAATGCTCACAAAGATTGTAAGATATTCTTACTCTTTTTCTATCAAGTTTAAGTAATCCTCAAATATGAGTCCTTGCAATGAAGCTGAGAATATAGAAATGTCTCAAGTACCATACGCATCAACAAATAGTATCTTAATGTTTGCAATATTTGTACAAGACCAACGGTGAAAGTGTTTAGTCGATACATAGTAAATCCTAGTAAAGAACATTAGAATACTAAAAAGAGATGATCTTAAGGTATATTAAGGGTACTAATAAATGTATTTTATGTGCTTATCCGGACTTCATTCCTTATGTATTTGTTACTATATTAAGCAAATATCTACTTCATTAAATCATGTTAATTGTAGGTAAATTTTGAGCTTGACAAGTTTTGATGCAATTGGATTGAAGTCATACAAAATTGAGGAATTGATGACTAAATTAGTCAAGACTTGAAGTTGAGGTCCTGTCATGCAAATAAAGAGAACTTGGATGCTCAAGAACTTAATTTGGCGGACCAAAGTACATTAAACAAACAGAAATTTCAGCTTTTGGATAGTTTCCTAATTACATTCAAAGTCCGCATCAGAGATGCTTTAGGACTCCTTTTTAGAATTATTATAAACTTTTATATATAATAATCATCATTCCTTTTATGGAACACACAATTTTAGAGAGAGAAAACACATAGAAAATTATGATCAAAGATCGAAAAATTAGAATTTGCAAGATTTTGTGAATGAAGAAGAGTTTCTTGGTGTAAGATCCAATTTATTCTTTCATCAAGGTTTCAAAACTCCTTTATGAACTATATTCTATTTTTATCCTTTATTTTATTTTATTAGTATGTGTAGCTAGATCATTAGTTAGGACAAATAATGTAATTAATGTGTGATGCATTAATTTAAATTTTAAGATTGTAGTAGTTTAATTTTCATGTATTGATTTTCTTTAATACTAAATGCTTCGAATTACTCGGCCAATAATTCAATGATTTTGTGAATTTATAATGAATCGAGAGGTAAATTATAGATTATACCACATATTAAAATTCGGCAGTTAGTATGAAAATGTAGATATACATTTTCTAGTTAGTGTGGACGTTATATGGATACTTAGATATTTAAGACATTTACTTAAGCTATATTCAGATTGATATAGAGATGTAGAATTGACTTTGTTATATAGAATCAATTTGAACTCAAAAGAGGTATATTAAGTATGTTACAAAAATTCGACCAAACACTACAATGGTCATGAATCTTGATTAATGAATTAAAGGGGATCCATAAATGAAATTGTAAGTCCTTGCATCCACATTTATATTTTAAAAAACAAAATTAGATTGATTGTGTGTTTTTAGATAATTTTTATTTAATTAGATAATCTAGATAATTAATCGCAAACTAAATTCTTTGTTTTTTTGGTCTATTAGGAGTTAGAGAAAAAAATTAGTAATTAAATAATAACGTTCGCGAGAACGATCATCAAAACTCATTGCACCATTGCATTGCGTGTTCGATCTATAAACTTACGAGTATAAAATTGACAACAAATTGTTGACGCTATTGTCAGGGATCGTTTACATTTAATCTTTATTTATTTTGTTTTTGCATTTTATTTAATTAGTTTAAACTGCTTTTTACTACAGATAAAATGATATTCGTAATATGCTCTATTCTTAAAGCGACAATCTTGAATCGTTTAATCTTAAAATAGAATGTACTTATAAACAAAAACTCATGGAACACAACATACAAAGACATA